TGATAAACACTGAATAATCAGTAATGTAATTTATTTAATTTATTTTAGATGTAGATTATATACTATGTATAACTTGAATTATACACCAACAACTTTGGGGGTACAAAGTTGAAGAGAAATTACATCTGGGGGTACGCCAACAAAAAAGGTTGAATACCACTGGCTTATAATATTCCAGGTTGCTTACCTTTTACGAGACGCTTAATACAATAAAGTGGCTTGCTTGTAACTATCTGACTTCATTGAACACAGCGCTTCTTTTGAGGAAGGTAGTCGCTATACTAGCAATGATTGTTCACTCCCTTTAGGGAGCCCAAAGGTTCAGTGGCGTGTTCAGGGAATCTGCCACTGAACTTTATACGGGATCAGCTGAATCCAGCCCACGTCCTATTTTAATTATGATTAATTTTATCATGGCCCTTATTTTTATGACGAAGAGCAGTAGAGAGTGCCCACCGATGCCCTTACTTCGTAATTTTATATCATTATTGAAAAAGGATGAACGGGACAAGGATATGTTACCCGTTGCGATTAAGGACCAAGAAACCTCTTTTGCTGAAATATAAATGATGTTAAAATGCACACAAATTACTATTGAGCAGTTGCTTCTGCAACAGCGTGTACCTAGCTCAGTTTTTGCCAGGGAAACTTACATTTTATGCAGCAGGCGAGGTAAGAATCATATTTTTTTTAAATTCTTCAGAGTAAACAAATAAATGACCTAGATGTGACTAGTCACAAATTAAGAGATGATTTCATAGGCCTGGTTACAGGTCGTCTCCATCTTGTGTGGCCCGTGAGCGTTAGAGTTTGGTCAACTTTCCTTGAAATGAGTAAAGATTATCGATACCGGAGACGGTTTGACTGTAACCGTTGCAGAATAGCGCTTTATCTGCGTGCCTTTTCCAGTGTCTCGTCATCTAGCAACATCATAACTCCCTCTCTTCCAGCTGCATGTCTTATTTCTTGTCTTTCCTGTCAACAATGAACTACAGTTTGCTGTTTCCATCCTGCAATCAGTCTTTGCTTTATTTTCTATTACACCCGTGCGTACAAGATGGCATCTCTTCAGTGCTGAGTGAATATTCTTTGCCTGCACTTAGTCCTCTCTTGTATATACTCAGTTTTCCTTTTCCATCTACTTTTTCATCTTTCTCACTCGTTTTCGTCTTTCCGATTGTCCGTTTCCCTCCAACCCTTAACGTCTCGGTAGAAGCGTCCTCTAATTAGGATCCGTGCATGCATTTCCACCCCCTGGCACCCTCCATTCCAGCACAAAACTAAGCCAACTCTTGTCATTACTCATTTTTATGCGAATCTAGCGCGTGGTGTTGGAGACAGCGCCATTCATCCCCGCTCCTGTTGGCTGGGGCTTGTAACCTCGTTTTCACGCCCTCTTACCAAAGAGGGAACCCAAATTTAAATTTCCGCGTCCTCCCCACCACAGCCAGTTTAAATGAATGCAGACATTATCCCGATATACAGGCTGAGCATTACCAATGTGTGGAAATGCTACGTGCTTAAATTGCAACATGATGGTGTGTTTCACACTGCATTTTATTAACGTAAGCAATGAAGAGCCTGAACATAGCTTTCTCCCTAATATATGGTTCGCGTGTTGTTAATTTTCAAATACAGTTTTCCAGTGCCTGTTTAATTTCAGTTAAATACACATCGTTTGTGTCACTAAGTAAAGGGAATCATAAACCGAGTTAAACATGGATCCATATCCAAAGTTTTCCCCAAAAATAAATTATTGTCCAAAGCGTTTTATTTCTCTCTTCGTTTATATTCTTCTGTGTTTTGTGTGCGTTCTTTGCACGGAATACACACTGAGCGCATTGGGGGCTAACAGAGTCCCAACGTATCCCGACATATAGGCAAAAATATAAACACGCAGCTCGGAGCATTCAGATCGACAAGGCGCAAAGAATGATTTGTACTCTGATATGGGTAGCAGCGTCCCTACCTCTTCAAACAGACCCCGTTCCAAAATGTATCGACCAATACCAGATTTTAACCGCATTGTAGAATTTCAGACACAACTAACCTTTATATATTTTTATATAATTTACGGGTTCGATTCCCGGCGGTGCCCGAATTTATAACTTGTGTTGGGCAAGGCCGTGGTCTAGGCAACACGGAGTTTTCCTCCGGGGGCTTCCCCGGTTTCTCAATAATAATAAGAAGAAGAAGAAGAAGAAGAAGAAGTGGGCGTAAAATAAGCATACTGCCGTCGTAACTTTCCTGTTTGTAACATTCCTTAATCGTGGCATGTTCTCTGATATCTCTCTCAGTGGCGACCCTGCGTAAAAAAAATATTCCCACACCGAAGTTCTGTTTTTGTGATTGCTGTAACCAGAATTTAGTAGATGAAGATTTTAAAAGATTTTTAAGCGTAAGTTAATTTTCTTCCCCGCACAAAAAGTTTTAAAGATTCCCAAAGAAGTTACCTAACTCAACGTTAACGCAGAGGGCAAGACAGTAAGGTGACATTACTACATCTGAATAGGAAAAGAAAAATGGCGTGAATGTATGTTGGCAAGAGTGGTAGGAGGCTTTAGAAAGGGTATGGTGAGGAACAGTAAAGTTGCATATCTTTTAATTTATTCTCGCGGCACTTATCTTCATAATGCCCATCATTCTCTCTCCCTTTGCAAGAGAATAGCACACTTCAAGACCATAAATCTGTCCTCAACTGTGGCATTACTTTGTTGAAAGGGAACCTGCCTCCACCCAAAAAGATCCATGACGAACTACTCGTTCCACCGCTAACTTGCTCTCTTTACTTTTATGCTGCCGCTGGACCAAACACAGACTCCAGAAACAACAGTGGTGGAAGCTGTAAGTATGAACTAGCATTTTTCCTGCATAATCTACTACATTTGCCAACACCGGTAGCGCTTTCATAGCAGTCTCATTTCAGTTACGAACGCGCAAGTATGGCATTTGTGATTGAAAAGCTATCGTTATTGAATTGTTAATAATAATTTGTAATTGTCGTTTTCGTGATGGAATCAAAGCATTTGTGTGAGAATTTGTGTTTTTAAGCTGATACATTAAAATTAGTTTTCTTCCAGATATTTTGCATGTTGACTATATAAGGTTCCATTTCATGCGCAATATTAATTAAATAATTAATTTAACGAATCTTGTGTAGACATCAGTACAATGTGTAATTGACATCCGTTCGGTAATGTGGGAGATAAAACATGCTGATAGACGGACATACACGACTGTCCCTGTATTATTTCATTAATTGTGTTCTGTCAAA